TCGGTCTTGAAATGCCATACCTCAGTGCCATAGGAGCATTAATGTACTTGGCTAGTCACACTAGACCAGACATCTGCTTTGCCGTGAGCCTCTTAGCTCGCTTTAGTTCGTGTCCAACTCAAAGGCACTGGAACGGTATTAAGCACATCCTTAGATACCTTCAAGGTACTAAGGACTTGGGATTATTTTATTCTAACCATAACAAGGATGGTCTAGTTGGTTTTGCTGATGCAGGATATTTGTCAGATCCGCACTGTGCTCGGTCTCAAACCGGTTATGTTTTCACGCATGGAAGAACAGCCATATCTTGGAGATCCATGAAGCAGACTATTGCCGCTACCTCATCCAACCATGCGGAAATCTTGGCCATTCACGAAGCTAGTAGAGAGTGTGTTTGGTTGCGGTCCATGACTCAGCATATCCGATCAGATTGTGGTATGGACGAAGATAAGGAGCCTACGGTGATGTATGAAGACAATGCAGCTTGTATCGCTCAACTCAAGGACGGCTACATCAAAGGTGACCGGACGAAGCATATTCTGCCCAAATTCTTCTTCACTCATGAGCTACAGAAGGATGGTCAGGTCAAGGTTCAGCAAGTCCGATCAAGCGAAAATTCAGCCGATCTATTCACTAAATCATTACCGACTTCTACACTCCGGAAGCTCATTCATCAGATAGGAATGCGTAGACTTAGAGATCTACAGTGATGCCTAAACCAGGGGGAGTAATGCGTGTTGTACTCTTTTTCCTTCACCATGGTTTTTCCCACTGGGTTTTCCTGGTAAGGTTTTAATGAGGCAACGTTCCCCAGCGCATTATAGAGATCCCGGTTTTGTGACAGGCACGGTTACCTTGTCCAAGGGGGAGTGTTATAAAAAAATGGACTTCTAGTAACCGGCCCATTAACCATCAGGTTAATGTCTCATGGCCCATTAGGGTTTTTGATACATTAGTTATGTAATGTATATATACACTGCTTATGGAAATAATAAGATTAGAGTTTTTCCCTTAATACTAAGATATATTTTTTTTGAATCACCTTTAATCTACTAAGTTTCTAATATGGAAATAATTATAATACTAAATATATATTTTAAAGAATAATGTCTGTTCGACAAAAAATAAAAGCCTAAACTTATGATTGGATCAAATATAATTTAACAATTCCTTAGTATTAGACTAGATAACTTCCCACTTGTATATGCGGGGTTTGAATTTAGTTTTAAAATTAGGGGTTTTTGCTAAAAATAACTCAAAAATTGATTTTGAATACAAAAGTAGACCCCTGAAAAAACATTTGACAGAAATAACCTAAAAAGGTAGTGAAAAGACCATTTAATATTGTATGAGTAAACAAAAAATGGATGTCCTAATTATCGTTTACACCCTGATGAAGTCTACTAAAATGAAAATGAAGTCTACTAGTAGACTTCGTTTATCAAAATGAATTCTACTAAGTAATTAAATCTGGAAATTTAATTTTAAAATTTAGAAAAAAATATTTTGGTATCAAAATTACATTCAGAAATTCCGTAATTATAACCCAAATGTACATAAATTTTTTTTTTATATTGATAAATGGAAATTTATGTTTTTAAATTAAGAAGAAGAAAATTTTTTATTTAGGATTTAAACTTAGTAGACTTCAATATGGAAGTCTGCTAAACCGAAAAAAATAATTTAACCAAAAATTGAACCGAAAAAATAGAATTTAACCAAATTTTTTATGCCATTATATAAAGAAAATAACCCTAATTTTGTAAAAAAAAAATGAAACATTCCTCTTTCTATAACGGCGCTGTGCTCCACTATCTCTGGCCTTTCTCCGCTGCCTTTTCTGTTCGTCTCTGCTGCTGCGTCTACTTATCTGCAAGCTCATCCTCAAAAAGTGGTATCTTTCTCTCTATTTCTCCCTTTCACCTGAATTCTCGATTTTTTTTTCTTTTTTATGCGTAGCATCTCATTCTGCTTTAGATCTGATTATTATTCCTAGTTTTCTTTCTATTGTCTCAGTCTGTAATCTATAGATCTCGATTTAGATTATCTTTTAGTTTTTTCAATGATAGATCTTATTGTTGAATCGTTGGCTAAGCTCTTTTCCAACTAAAATATTTTATTAAAATGACTTTGGTTATAGAAAATTGAAAGAAACGACAAAAAAAAAAAGAATTTGGTTGCAGACGGCAAGATTGATTCAAACTTTTTGGTTTTGTTGGTAAACAGGCAAAACCTTAGACAGTGGAGAACGTGTGTGAAGCCGTCAAAAGCCAACTCTCACTTAAAGATGGCGAGACAGTTTCGGCTGGGGGTGAGCAACATGAATCTCTGTTCTTGGTCGTCTTCTTCCTCCTTTCCGTCCTTTTTTTTCTTTTTCTGGCTCCTATTTTTCATTTCTCAGGTGAAAGCTCTCCTCGGCGGCGGCTGACTACGGCGACGGATGGCTGTTTTAGGTCGGTGGCTCTCTTCTCGGTGGCAGGTGGCTCCGGCGGCTAGGGTTTCCTTTCACTCAATTTGTTTTTCGTTTTGGGCTTTCTTCCTTTTGGCTCATTGCCTGGCCCATTAGTGGTTCTCGGGTTGGGCTTTTTTCTTTTTTTTTTCCTTTTATTGTTTTTTTGTCTTTTTTTCTTATTGCATCTTTTGTATATGTACAAAAAATAAAAAAAATCCTAAAAATTTCGATATGAAAACCAAAAAAAAAAAAAAAGATAATTTTGGGACCAAATTTTTGCCAGCTGTTTCTATTTAACTTTTATACAAAACATAGAATTTTGCTGTTATCAGATTGTTCTTCTGGTTTAGCTGAAAAACATAGAATTTTGCTTTTATCAGATTGTTCTTCTGGAAATTTTTGTAAGTTATAATTATAATACATAACTCATAAGTAATTTTGTAAAAAAAAACATAAAAATCACATTAGCAAACGTAATTACAAAGCACAATATAGCAAACACATAAATATCAAAAAACTTTACACAGGAAATTTCGTTTCAAGACTTCGTAGACTCCAAATGAAGTCTACTTTTATAAACTAACTAGTTTATAAATCAAAATATTCGATTCCACAATTGATATCGACTTAAATCAAATGAAAATCATTGAGTAGTTCAACCACTTGCTAACACGCATGTCAAAACCTAAAAATTAAAAAAAAAATTATAAATATTTAAGATATGTGTTTTTAAAATAAATACAAAAAATAGACTTCGTAATTAGACTTCCTTAGTAGACTTCGTAATTAGTCTACTGAAGTCTACTTTGATAAGCTAAGTAGCTTAAAAATTGAAACTTCTAATTCAACAATAAATATCGAATGAAATGAAATAAAATTCATTAGGTAGTTCAATCACTTACTAAGAAGCAATTCTAATCCAAAAAATTAAAAAAATACTTTATAAATTTGCCGAAAGCGCGTTTTTTAAAAAATTGCAATAAGTAGACTTCTACTGAAGACTTCAAACGTAGAGTGGAGGAGAAGTCTACTTTTTCATAGTGAAGTCTACTAAAGAAGTCTACTAAAAAACATGTTATTTTTGCAATTGACCAATTCGTTGACTTTTCCTTCAGTAGACTTCAAAAGTAGACTTCCGGCCAAAAATGTTACTTTAGCATTTGACCAAGCCATTGACTAACAAAGCAGACTTCTATTGTAGACTTCATGTAAGAGTAAACTTCTCTGACAGTCTACTTTTGAAGTCTACTTTTTCAATAGAAGTCTACGGAAAAAAATAGATTATTTTTGCAATTGACTATCTTTAGTAGACTTCACTGTGAAATCTACTAAAAAAAAGATTCCTTCTAAGTTTGACCGAAAAATATAAGTAGACTTCCCAAAGAAGTCTACAGTTTTTAGTCTACTGCAGCTTTCCGGAGTTTTCTGAATTTTTTATTTTTTTTTAAACTTTAGTCAAACACTAATATGACCTATACGTTTTTGGTCAAACTACAAAAGTAACTTAAAAGTAGACTTCTCGTGCAGACGTAAACAGTAGACTTTAGAAAGAAGTCTACATTAAAAAGTCAAAATACGGTCAACTACAAAAATAACCTTTTTTGTTTCGTAGACTTCTGAAGCCTTCAAATGAAGTCTACTATGCTTTTTTTTTGTTTTCAAAAGATATCGAGTAGACTTCTCGTGGGTTTTAATGAAGTCTACTTTTAAAAAGTCAATTGCAAAAATAACCTTATGTTGACTAGTAGACTTCAGTATACTTCACGAGAAGTCTACTTTCGCGACATGAAAACTGAAATATGGAGAAATTGAAGTGTGACGATTACCTTTTACAAAATTGAGCTCGGCTACAGTTCTTTTAAGCACCCAGAACTCATGATTTCACCAAAAATAAGCAACCCAGATGTCAAGTAACCAAAAATCACCGAAAATGCATGAAGTTTGGCATTGTAACTTAGCCCAGATGTTTTGGAGAAGAAATTATGAAAGAATGAAGAAGGTTATGAGTGAATGAGCTCAAATATTTACTTATTACAGCTTTAAAATTGGTTGAGAAGCATTTATTCTATTTTCATGGTTGTTCATGGTGGTTGAAGAAATTGAAGAATATGGCATTCTCGTAATTAAAATGTCTTTAGAAGGTCTAAGGAGACTTTAGCCAAATTAAAGAAAAATTGAAATAATAGATATATAATGACATTTTCGTTAATAGTTTAAGTGAGAAGGATAAAATTGTGAGAAAATGGGAAAAGTTGGAGAGAGAGAAAAAAAGAGGTTAGTTTGGGGTTTGACTTTGAAATATGGGTTAAATCTGAAACCCCTTAAAATTAATAGTTTTAAGTTTTATGCATGTCGTTGTTAAGCACTAAGTCAAGTTTTATAACATTTTTGAATTAAAAAAAAAAATTAAGAACATGTATGAATTAGTGAAGTGGTGACACGACAAACCCAGACCATGGTTGGGTTAGGTTGGGGTTTAAAAACAAAAAAAACTCGAAAATATCATACTAAAGAAAGATTGACTTATCCTTTGGGAGTCTCCGCAAAACAGAGCATAAAACTTGGGCTCACTTTTGAGAGCAATGAAGCCAGAGAAAGCGTAAGTTAGAAAAATTGACATGGCAAGCTCTTCCTCCTCCTCGTCCAGGTTGAAAGCAGAGGATGACACACCAAACGAACAAGTGTTCATTAACTTCCGCGGAGTTGAACTTCGCTACAACTTCGTCAGCCATCTGGACAAGAGCTTAAAAAGGAATGCGATCAATGCCTTCATAGACACAGATGAAGAGATGGGCCAAAATTTGGATGTTCTGCTCACAAGAATCGAAGGGTCGAGGATCGCGCTAGCGATATTCTCCCCGAGGTACACCGAGTCAGATTGGTGTTTGAAGGAGCTAGCCAAGATGAAGGAAAGAATGGAGCAGAGGAAACTCGTGGTGATTCCAATCTTCTACAAGGTGGAGCCTGCCACTGTTAAAGAACTCAAGGGAGAGTTCGGCGATAAGTTCAGGGAGCTGGCCAGGTTTATTGACAAGAAGACCAAGAAAAAATGGAAGGAGGCTTTGAAATCTGTTCCTCTCTTAACGGGATTCGTGTTGAACGACAAAAGGTAGCTGCTCCTTAAATTACTACTTGTCATCTCAAAAGCTAAGGTAAAATCATGCATCTCATGATCTCCCTCCTTTGCTCGCAGCGATGAAGACGAAATCATCGTGAAAGTCGTCAAGGCGGTTAAAAAAGTGTTATATAGAATTTCACAGGCTTCACCACCTCATCCTAATCCACCAGAATGTATTAATGGAATGTCTCTCCAGAGACACCACAAGAGTCATGAAAGCTCTTGGGGAATCAAGCACCGACTCAAGCAGCTAGAAGAAAAGTTAATCTTTGGATTCGAGGAGACAACTCGTATCATTGGTGTTGTTGGGATGCCTGGCATAGGCAAAACCACTCTCGCTAGGAATCTATACGAGAAGCTGAACAACGGATTCTTGAGCCACGTGTTAGTCCCAGATATCCATGAGTTTTCAAAGGAATACGGATTGAATTATCTGACCAAAATACTCTTGGAAGATTTATTGACTGACAAAGCTCCCAACACTGAGACCGTCCATGAAGCTTACAAAGATCAACTACTCAAAACCAAAGTCTTTGTTGTTCTAGACAGTGTTAGTAGCAAGGAACAAATCAATGCTCTTCTCGGAAAACGAGACTGGATTAAACGGGGAAGCAAGATTGTCATTGCAACAAGCGATAAGTCGTTGATACAAAGTTTGGTCGATGATATTTACGAGGTCCCTAGGTTAAGCGACAGAGACGCCTTAAACCACTTTATCCATTATGCGTTTGATGATCAAGAAGGAGATCATGCTCTCGGGATAGGAAAGTTCTTGAAGCTCTCGAAAGATTTCGTGCATTATACAAAAGGAAATCCACTAGCTCTCAAGATATTGGGCGCAGAGCTTTTGGGGAAAGACGAGACTCACTGGGACTTAAAGCTAGCTGCATTGACTCAGCACCATAAAAGCCCTCCAGGACAGACCACAAGCAAGATGCTTCACAATGTTTGGAAAGGGAGCTACGATGGATTGAGTCAACAACAAAAAGATACGCTTCTTGACATAGCGTGCTTCAAGTCGCTAGATGAGAATTATGTAAGGAGTTTACTCGATCCAGATGGCCTTAATAAGAATGAAATAGAAGATTTAGTGAACAAGTTCATGATTAATATTTATGCCGGGAAAGTAGAGATGCATGATACATTGTATATGCTCTCCAAGGACCTTGGTCGAGAAGCTACTGCTACAGATGGAAAGGGACGGCATAGGTTGTGGCACCACCACACAATTACTGATGTGCTAGGAAAAAACAAGGTACAGTATAACTAAAACCTTTAGTGTTTTTAGTCAAAAGAATATTTACAAATGAATGCTACACTATTTATCCTTATCCCATGTGTTTGAAAACGTGATTCCTGTTATTTTTAGCCTTCATCAAAAATTCTTTTAGTAATTTTGTGTTCTTGTTATTGCTTGCCACCGGTTAACAGGGAGCTTCTCATGTCAGATCTATTTGTCTTGACTTGTCCGATATAACAAGAAAAATGAGTTTCCACAGCCATTCTTTTGCCAAGATGAACGATCTAAGATATCTCAAAATCTACAGCTCTCATTGTCCTCAAGAATGTGATAGTGACATTAAATTAAACTTCCCTGAAGGACTCCAAATACCATTGAATGAGGTGCGATGTCTCCACTGGTTGAAATTTCCATTGAAAGAAGTTCCACAAGATTTCAATCCAAAGAATTTGGTTGACCTTAAGCTTCCTTACAGCAACATTGAACGAGTTTGGGAGGGTAACAAGGTGTGTAGTGTAATAATTTGCCAGTTGATTTTTCTTTTCTTGGTCCAATGCATGCAAGTAGTTTTTAAAAGTGTTGTCTGACTCTTTTTAATATTTTGTTTTGTTTTCATTTGTCCTAGGATGCATCAAAACTAAAATGGGTCAGTTTGAACCACTCAAAGAAGCTGAGCACTTTGTCAGGGTTAGGAAAAGCTCAAAATATTCAAGAGTTAAACCTAGAAAGCTGCACGGCGTTGAAAATGTTGCATGTGGATATAGAAAACATGAAGTGTCTTGTTTTCTTGAACCTGAGAGGATGCACAAGTCTTGAATCTCTTCCAAAGATAAAAGTGAACTCTTTGAAAACTCTCATCCTCAGCGACTGCTCAAATTTTAAAACCTTTCAGGTTATTTCAGAGCAGCTAGAAGCTCTATACTTGGATGGCACAGCAGTGAAAGAGCTTCCTTGTGATATACGGATCCTCCAAAGACTTGTCTTATTGAACATGAAAGGCTGCAAGAAGCTGAAGAGGCTCCCTGATTGTTTTGGTGAGCTGAAAGCTCTTGAAGAACTTATACTTTCTGGTTGTTCAAAGCTCAAAGAATTTCCAGAAAGTGGAGGAATTATGAGCAGCTTAGAGATTCTGCTTTTGGATGAGACAGCCATAGAAGAGATACCAAGAATATTTTCGGTGCGGCGTTTATGCTTAAGCAGGAATGAAAAGATCACCCGCCTTCCCATTCTGATCAATCAATTTTCTCGACTGCAATGGCTTGATATGAAGTATTGTAAGAATCTTACACATGTTCCTGAGCTTCCACCAAAACTTCAGTGTTTAGATGTGCGTGGTTGTAGCTCACTGAAAACAATTTCGAAACCTCTGGTATGTTCTGTGCCGACGGAGCAGATCCATTCCAAGTTTATATTCACTGATTGCAATGAATTGGAACAAGCTGCAAAGGAGGAAATTCTAGTCTATGCTAAACAGAAGTGTCACTTGCTATCAAGTGCGCTTAAACGCTGCAATGAGGTATCTCTCTTCATCCCCCTTGACACGTTCCATTTGTATACCATTGTTTTGGAACAGAGGTTTATGGTTATCTTTTTGTAAAACTTTGCAGGTCTGTGTTCCTGAGATTTTGTTTGACACTAGCTTTCCTGGATGTGAAATGCCTTCATGGTTTCCTCATGATGCAGTTGGATCGCTGGTGGAGTTTGAATTACCTCCACACTGGAATCACAATAGGCTTTCTGGAATACTCCTATGTGTTGTTGTCTCATTCCATAACTGTCAAAATCATGCCAGCTTGGCAGTCAAATTCACCGGAGAGGGCTCTTGCACCAACATTACTTGGAAGATTGGAAATTTGATTGTACGAGACAATGAAGTAAACAAGATTGAGTCAGACCATGTCTTTATTGGCTACACTAACTGTCTAGACTTCATAAACCTTCTTCAAGGACAGGGCCCGCGTAAATGTGCTCCGACCAAGGCATCCCTTGAGTTTAGTGTGACAACTGGTACTGGTACTGGAGGGGAAGCTAGGTTTGAAGTTTTGAAATCCGGTTTCAGTTTTGTGTTTGAACCTGAAGAGATCAAAGTTCCATTACCAAGGAATGAAGAAGTCAAAGGTGGAACTAAAACTAACAGAACCCCAAGTGCTAATGGTTGTTTCAAGGATCAACCAAATGGATACAAATTTCCAATGGGCCAGTGTCAGTCTTACATCGAAAGTTCTGGTAGAAACATCACATGTGAAGCACATTCTTCCTGAACAACTGGTTTTGATTTCACTGTCTCTGTATTAGACCAAAAAGATCTTGCAGATTATCTCTGTTTTCAAACTATTTATTCATTGAACTCTTTGTATTGGCATTTTCATTTTGCAATGTTCTCTCTGTGTTCATCGTGACAGATGATTTGGCCTTTAAGGTGTTACAGAATGGTTCAGTGTTCGAGACCAAAATAGATTCGAGAGTCAGAGCAATCAGCCAGATTTTTCTGTAATTGCTATCTTTTCTTTTGGTCCTCATCGTTCTTCTCGTATCATTTCCATATTACGCGGAAATGGGCATAAAGCTGAGACATTTAAACCAAAAACAGAGGAAAGCTTGAAGCTTTAAGAATTTGCATTTTGGTCCATTCATTCACCAATCAAACACAAACTCCATGAGAAGAAACAGACAAGCAGAATACTGAAACACATTAACAGAAATAAACACCAACAAAAGTTCGCAAACTAAGATTACAACCAGACCAGCAGATAACTCATATTTAGGCGGCGCCTGAGACCAAATCTCCGGCAGGAGAAGCGGCGGTGGCGGCACCACCGTCGTCGGAAGAAAGTGCTAGCGGAGCCCAATCCGGAGGGAGAGGAGGAAGAGGAGCATAAACGGTAGGCTTTCTCTTAATGTCCCAAGGCTGAGTCTTCTTCGGCCTCGTCTTCCTGTGATGAGCCGTCGATTTCTTCTGTGGCCTCGACGAACACTCTATCACCATTCCCAGTCCTCCTCCGTTCCCCGATTTCGGAACCTGAAATTGGCGGAGAGACGGAGAAGCAGCGACGGTGACGATTCCGGTGCCAAAGATCGCCGACACAGACATTGTTCCTTATCTTTCTGCAGTGGAAGTGAGTATGAGCCTCTAGCTTCGGATTAGAGACACCATATCTTAAGTTTTCGTATTTCGGCTGGTATTTTGGGCCTTTTAAGTATCTATTGGGCCTTTCTATTCATATATGTCGATATAGTGGGAGGTCTAGCCCATAGTTACGCGGCCCATATCGAACTCATTATGCTGCAAGCCTAGATAAATGAATTAGAAATATACTAGCCTGTAACTGTGTAAGTACATTAAATTTACAAATATATATGTATGAGAACTTGAGAAGTTTAACGTTTTGTTACCTTAAACCAATATTTTAGACATCACCTGAATCATCCCTAAGCTAATGCAATAGATTAGCTAGATTTTTTTCTTTAAAACAAGTATATTATTTCGAATTAGAATTTAGGTGGTAACATAATTATATCAATACAATATTATGACAAACCACTAGATTACAAGTGGTCCATTAGTTAGAATTATAATGCAAATGTTTTTTGCTATTTAATCAAGATTATTATATTGGTATTTAAAGATTTTAGAATGTCCAAACAAATTTCACGTTTTTATTTGTCTATTAATAAATATTTAGTTTCAGCTTTCGGATTCTTAGTAAAGAGCTATAACAAATTTGAATTTTCTATTTTGGTGTTCGTTTATCAAAATGAAAATATAATCGGTTATAACAAATCCTGGTTAGAGTGTATATTGTTACTGTTTAAGAAGCGTATAAGAAAGCGAACATTTTTTTTTTGGAACTGATTTTAATAAAGCGAACATTACACGAGATGAACTGACGTTCTAGTATATTCGTTTGGTTTTAGACTTTTGTGGCTATTGGGGTTTCTCAAAGCTGCCAAAGCGATTAATAAATGTATATTTTGTCCAAACCCACCTCTAATCATCGTTATGTATTAATTCAGTGACACGCCTAAATTAGGCTTTAAACTAACTACTATCACCAACATAATTAATAATTTCAGTTCTCCTCTCCACTCTCACATTCTTTCTTTAATTTCCAATTCTTATCACCAACAAACTAACTACACTTGGGTTTTTTTTTTTCTCTCATTTCTATTAACTAACAAACGCTTGTTATGTGTGGCTAAAAACGTTTCCAAAAGTCGCCAAATAAGAGACGTCTGAGCCAAACTAGAGACGCAGTCCAATTATTTTAATATTTGATTTCTGTTAAAAACTCTCTCCGTCTCGACGTTAATGATGCTCTTATATCTATATCATTATAACAAGATAATCAATTACCAGCGGAAATTGTGATTGCGATGAAAAGTACTCATCTTTACGTAGACACAAAAACATTTGCCAAAATTATGGCAAAAATAATAAGATTACTTTCATCTCTTCTACGTACGTGACTTGCATTATCCACTACATTCACAAATCCACGTGCAACGGACTATCACCCCTCATTTTTTCTGTCCACAAATTATTATTAATTAATTGCTCTCTTTCTATAAACTTCGTACTACATATCAACAGCTCAGCCATTCGATTACTCGTACGAGGAGATTCTGTCGGTTAGACCAAAATTAGGCATCACAAACCTATGGTATCCAGCGCATTGTATAAGTTTTGTAAATCTTATCTTAATATCGTTTTTGATAAGGGATAATGCTAAAGGAAAACAATATTTGACCCGAAGAGAAAATCCTTAATGTTGTTGAAATAATAACCGTGAGATAAACTTAATTTCTGGTGGTTAAAATGGTTGTGGTAGGCGTTAGTTTATTATCCACTATCCCTTCCCCTCTTATTCTCTGTATGTTATTCTTCTTATCATATCAATGGTTGTAATGTTTTAGATTTGATTCCCTGTAGCTTAGTTATCAATAAAGACACCCATTTAACAAATTTAGCCGAAAAAGACACCCATATAACACAAAAAGAGAGAGATAAACTCTTTAAACTTGACAACTTTTTGTTTTATGCATGTATATCTTAAAAACGAAACTATAAACAAATATAAATAAATAATTTACAATACAATTAATTTAGTTGTGTGTATATATAATATAATATAATATATATATGCTAATATTTGTCTATTTACAGGTAAGTGTCTTGTATAAGGCCTAATTTGAGCCAATCTCAGTCATGTGATTGCTTTTTTGGGGGGTTAGATTTTGGTACATCGAAAATGATTTGACTGCTCTCGGGTTCTTTTGCATTTTTGTATTATTCTATGACTATTTTCTTGATATTAGAGTTTAAATTTTGTACTGCACTGCCATGCCAGCTTGATGAATATACGAGGAATCTTTGGATTCTTTTTATTTATCAATAGTTTAGTTTCCGACTTAAAAATGATATTGATCATTGTTGATGAATATTACGTGAACCATGAAATATAATTTTTTTTTATTAGATTGTATGTACAAGTTTCTAAGGAATGTTAGTCGGTTGTTTTTTTTTTTTGAACCTATGTTAGTCGGTTGTTATGATCCATGTGGCATGTGCTATAGATTGTTTAGCGGGTCGTGTTAGAATTTGAATTCATATTTTCACTTATCAAATTATTGTCTCACCGGCTAATTTTGTGAACCGTTGGTTGACAAAAAAAAACAAAACAAAACCTATGGGCATATCAAATTAGTTTTACATTTCATCTTTCTATTCACGAAAGATCATTATTCATACAATATATCCAAACGCAGTTAACTCGATTCATTAGAAAATGTGGTTTCAATGCTACTGGATTGGAGTTCAAACCTAAATGATATGTTTTGGATAAGATAGTTTTTTTTTCGGGATAGAAATATTATGGATCGGATAACTACAATATTACAATTTCGTTTATAAATTTTTTGCGGGTCTAGTATTCTTTGAAAAGTAGTATATCATAATGGACAAAAAATTTTTTTAAAAAATCAGTTACGTTGCATAACAACTCATGTGACTACAAATTGACGTTATGTCAATATAGAGCAAGTAACAAACATACTACAGAAATATTTAATTTTCAAGAATATGAAAATAAACATTGAAAATAGACTAATAACTTATTTTCAATCATCTCAAATACTAAGAAGCGGGCGGTTTTCGACAAAACTAAAGAAGCCGGCAGTCCTAAATCTTTTTGTCTGCATCATTTATCGATCTTCCCAAATGTATACGGTATAATTACACGTGGATTAATTGTTTAATGGTGCAAAAACAAAAAAATCTTATATTATCATTATACAAGGAAATCAAATCATAAGAATGTGGATATGATTACGTTCAAAAAGTCGTGATCGGTTGGGATTGCGTTGCAAAGATGTCTCGCTTTGATACTCTCCCAAAATACTTAGTCAATAGTTCATAATGATCGACTTTTGGAGTTTTCTCACAATACTTACTAAAACAAAATTTGGATTGTGATGGTTTTAATTTAGTTTATGACAGATATAACACTTAAACTAAGTTTTTAATGTATTGTAGTAATATATATCTTCCGGATATAAAAGTTGATTAATTAGCTAATTGTAACATTTTTTACTTCATTAGTCCTTCACTCCTCTAATAATCGTATTAACAACAAAAATCCTCTATATTGAAGCAAATATCCCGACACGTGTGATTTACATGCCTCGCGACTATTACACTAGAAAATCGGACTCCAAGTTGGACCTTATAATTTTTTTTAATAATTACAAATTTGAAGTATATACCAGAATATCTCGTAAAAATCAATAACAGATAAAAAAAAAGAAAATTTCTAAAACACTTTATCAACTTCGATTTTTCTTCTTCCTTGTTTGAATAATTGAATGTAACCTCCCCCACTTAATTTCCCGCATAAAAAGACAATAGTTTCCCCTACCCACATCCGCATGAAAAAAATGTATTTCCGATATTAACAATCCAAAACATCCACATAATATAAAAAATAAAGCAAAAATAAAAACGATATCATTCTTTTCATTATTATATCAAAAAACCTAACACCCCTCATTATTGCTCCCACTTCAAACCAATTTGCTTCCTTGAATGGCAAGTCTCTTCTCCTCACCTCTCAGCTCACGTTCTCTCTCTCTTGTCATCAACCTATTCTTCATCTTCCTCATCTATCTCCATTTCGCTTCACAAAATCCTCCTCACTCCAATTCCATCAAATCCCTGAATTCTATCGCCGCCGGTGACAGTGACAGCTGCAGCGAAGGACTCGCCGTCCTCGACGACCACCGTTCCAAGTGTTCTTACGTTAGATCGAAATCAAAATGTGGCCCACAAGGTTACTTAGACTATCTCAAGATTTTCTTCTGTATCTTCGGACAATCCCCTGTTTTGGGCCATCTAGTTTTATCCATCTGGCTATTTGTTCTGTTCTACTTGCTCGGAGACACGGCGGCGAGTTACTTTTGTCCTTCTTTGGACAGCTTATCTAAGGTTTTGAAGCTGTCTCCTACAATGGCTGGAGTTACGCTTCTCTCTCTCGGCAACGGTGCGCCTGATTTGTTTTCAAGTATTGTCTCCTTCACGAGGTCAAATAATGGCGATTTTGGGCTCAACTCTGTTTTAGGCGGTGCGTTCTTCGTCTCCAGCTTCGTTGTCGGGACGATTTGTTTGTTAATTGGATCTAAAGATGTCTCTATCGACAAGTACAGCTTTATCCGCGATGTTGTTTTTCTTCTGGTCGCTCTGTGTTGTCTCGGTTTGATCGTCTTTGTCGGCAGAGTAACCATTTGGGTCGCACTTTGTTACCTTTCCATTTATATCCTTTATGTTGGGTTCTTATCATTTTCGCATTTCTTCGATCGCAAGAAACCTATCTCCGACCAGATTCTTCGTACCAGAGAGGATTTGGCCGAGATGGGCGTCCCATTGCTCGGATATATCAGCGAGGATAAGCCCGTACCGCCGCAAAAAATTGCTCATGAATCAAGAACTCAAGAACAAGAATTCAAGATTGTGTTTCTTGATTCGCCAAAAAAGCAGCCGTCTTGCTTCTCGGTGCTAGTGAGCGTCCTAGGACTACCTCTGTATCTCCCACGGCGGCTCACGATTCCCGTCGTCAGCGAAGAAAAGTGGTCAAGGCCTTGCGCGGTGGTTTCCACAGCCATGGCGCCTGTTCTGCTAACCGAGCTTTACTGTTCTCATTACAACGGGTCCAAAAGAAACCTAATCTTGTACATATTATCCGGAGTAATCGGATTATTCTTTGGTATCTTAGCGTACTTGACGACGGAAAGTTCTCGTCCGCCGAAGAAATTCTCACTAGTTTGGCTTCTAGGAGGCTTCACAATGAGTGTGACATGGACATACATCATAGCACAAGAGCTAGTCTCATTGTTAATATCCTTAGGGAATATCTTTGGGATTAGTCCTTCTGTTTTAGGACTAACCGTTCTTGCTTGGGGCAATTCTCTTGGCGATCTGATCGCCAATGTGACCGTGGCGGTTTACGGAGGAAACGACGGTGCGCAGATAGCACTTTCCGGGTGCTACGCTGGTCCGCTATTCAACACGGTGATTGGACTAGGCGTGCCACTTGTTATCTCCTCGTTGGCTGAATATCCTGGGGTCTACATCATTCCAAGTGACAATTCGTTGCTTGAGACACTAGGCTTCTTAATGGTAGGCTTGCTTTGGGCACTTGTGATAATGCCAAAGAAGAAGATGAGGCTTGATAGGCTTGTCGGTGGCGGCTTACTCGCTATTTACCTCTGTTTCTTGTTCTTGAGATTGGCTAGGGTTTTCGGAGTCCTCGATATCGACCGGTGAACTTTTAAGTATCGTGAATTTTTTTTTTTGGGTAGCTTTGAAATAGTAGATTGTTATCGAAGAAAGTTGCAAATAGATCAAAGTTGTGGGTCTTATATTACTATTCCTTAAATTTTAAGTCTTGCGAATACTACTGAGAGGGATGGCTACTTTTGTTTGTTGCTGAACATTCATTTTCTGTCAAACTCACTTAGTACAGAAAGCATTGGCATGTTGTTCTACATTCATTGTTCATGGATTGTATGTATATAGTACATCATTAGTATTAAATTTCTGTTACAACTCTAAATGGGATTCTCAGTGATTATTTATTCGACTCTCCTTCACTAGAAGAAGAAGATAAAACATATCATAACAACTTTTCTGACCTTATGATTTTATTTACCAATACTATTTAAACATTTAAAATTTAGATGTTAACTAAATCTCATCATGTCTGGTCTGATCTGATCTGAGGCTCAATCAAACCTACTAAATATGAACCTGTTGTAAGAATTACGCATTATTATATAAATTCGTTCAAACGAGACACGTTATGTTCTTCGTATTAACTACTTAACACATATTATAAATTAGAGTTTGATCTTTCAAGTAACGTATAATTGTTTGGCTATACTGTGGTTTTGGCTCAACCACTAATATTCCAATTTTTTGTGATTTAAATTTAAAAGTGTTAATTAGGTGAAATCAACCGGAATAAAGCAGATATGGCCTAATTAAATGTAAATTCCCTAATCATTATATGGCGATAAGGGACATTGCTAAGTGTCACATTGCATTTTGATTCTATGAATTATTAGAAAAATGCCAAAAAATGGTGTTATCCTACTAATTACAAGAAAACAATTTGCAGAAAACAAGAAAAATGTGCTAAATTATTATGCACACGTCTCATGAGATAAGGAAATTGAATAGAATTGACAAAAACAAAAACAAAATAAAAACAAGACACACCTTATCTTTTTCTCAAAAAAAAAAATATGACACCTTATCTTAAGTTTTAATGCAAATTGGCAAAAAGAGACAAGCGTTGTCGATTCAACTAACTCCCACAATACTGGGAGTAAAAGATTGTGTGGGTATGTATGTGTATCCTTGATGCATGAGTAGAAATTGTTGACTACTCAAATATCTGACACCTATTAAATTCCTAGCTACTCAATTTGAATTCCATAACTCTAGAAATTATTATGTATTTATGTGTCCCGAAACTTGAGATCTAAATAATAAGCTACACATATAAAACCTTTTTATAATGAGATAATCAAAAGCATACCAAAATTTTAAGTGTAAGAAATCATTGAAGAAAGTTAAGAAAACATTGTTTTAATCTTCTTATAAATATTTCAAAATTTGTAACATTATTAGACCTCCTTTTGCATTGTATATTCCAATTTTTTTTTCAACTTGATTTATAATGATTGCATGTGATTTTTTGTTTGTTTATTTTAACGGAAATTGTATTCATATGTGATGAAAAATCTATGTTATAATCTACGTAAGTAATCGATATACACAACACAAGTCATACAAAAGAAGTGATTCCCTTCACAGAGTAGAAGATTATACAAATCCGTGTGATGTACGAAACTGTGAGTTGAAAACCAAAATTAGTAACTAGTGAGAATCTCCAGCTGTTTGTACAATCCTTATAGACAATGAAGCCAAGTAAATGACCAATAGTCCAATCCCCATCACACCACCAAGCCTCATTCGGTTACTAAACAGAACCAAGAAGGACCAAACCAGTCCTATCACCAGAAACCCAAGAGACTCCAACAAACGAGGATCTGTCTTAATCACAATGCTCGACGGATAAACCTCCCACGCGCATCCCACAAGCGAAATCCCGAGCGCAAACAATGTATTAAAGATTGGTCCCGCGTAACATCCCGACACAGCCACTTGAGCTCCTTCGTTGCCATCGTGCAACGCCATCGTCACATTGGTTATAAGATCCCCAATAGAGTTTCCCCAAGCGAGTACCGTTAGGCCCAAGATCGAAGGGCTTACACCGAAAATGTAACCTAGAGAAGTCAAAAGCGCGACTAGCTCTTGAGCCGATATGTAACTCCATGTCATGCTCATCACAAACCCACCTGCTAACCAAGGTAATAGCCATTTCTTCGGTGGGGTTAACGTCTTCGTCGTGGCTCCTGCAACGAAACCAAGAACTATTCCGACCAAACACCCGATCGAATAAACAACCCCCGTCTCAAAACTCGAAGGGTTCCGCTTCCAGTTCCATAGAAACGACAACAGAACCGGAGCTAATGTGACCGAAGCAACAGCTTTTGGTTTAGACCATCCGGTTTCACTAACTACAGGAATTGTCAATATCCTTGGCAAGTCTAGAGGCAGAGTGATAATCCAAACCGCCAATTTCCAGTAATATCGCCGATGATCATTATGAAGCTCTCCATTAACAATGACACAATCATCAATCTCCTCAAGATCGTCTCTTTGCAAGATTGGTTCACTAAGACTACCACGCTTATGGACTGACTCAAGATCAAACTCAGCACCTTCTCCACCAAATCTCCAAGAGAGATACACAAAGGCAACATAAACAGCATACAAAGAACAGAACCCAAGAGCACCCCAAAAATTGATCTTTCCATAAACCAGAATCAAAGCCAAGGAACCAATAGCTGCACAGAAGAAGCAAATGTCTCGTATAAAAGCGGATCGCTCGACACGGACGCGTCTCCTATGCAACGCAATGCTTATGATCCCAACAACGACGCAGGTGACGAAAGAAGAACCTCCCACGACTGTGTTGAGACCGACACCGTAAGTGCCCTTTGATTCTCCCATGAAAGAGACCAAGCTTGCGAACAAATCAGGAGCGCCATTTCCAAGAGACAGAAGAGTTACGCCGGCAACAGTAGGCGACAAATTGAGAAGCTTGGAGAGACTTTCGAGAGATGAGCAGAAATACTCAGACGCTGTGTGGCCCAATACGTAGAACAGGACAAGGAGCCAGAGGAAGAGGAGAAATTGACCCACTAGTGGAGATCCATCGAAATTACAATAGAGGAAGGAGAGGTAATCGATGAAACCTTGATTAGCGCATTGGTCGATTGATTTCAGGTAAGCGCACTTGGATTTGTAGTCATGAAAGTGCTTCAGGGCACTGCAACCATGCTCGGATTTGGGTTTTAGGGCACTGGAATCAACAGGATTCGTGAAGAGGCACAAGAGGAGACAAGAGATGGCGAGGAATGTGATTGTCAAGTAACCCACACGGATTGAAGAAAAAGGAAATCCCATCAATCAGGTGAAACCTGGAACTCCAAAAACGAGAACCTGATCAAAACAGAGAAAAACGATCAGGTGGTTTTTTTCTATAAAAGGTTAAAAAATGAAAATTGGGTTTTGTCGTGGAGGATCTATTAATGGGTTTTTCCTCAACAGATCATGAAACGAGAGATAAACAGAAGGATAAACACGAACTCGACGCGGAAAGAGAAAGGAGATAAAAGCACTGACCTTTATTAATATCTACGAAGAAAAAGCAAAAAGGGAACCGAATTTGCCCTTTTTGCTGGATTGCGGAATGGAGACGATTTGATGCGAGCGAGCAAAGGATACACCCACAAACACATACACACTTGAACAGGAGCCGAAGACAAACGTCAGAAGACAAAACAGAGGATCTCAATTTTTGTTTTAGTTTATATATATAAAAGAATCCAAAAAGTTTGTCACTTTGTCATTACCGTTTAGGGAAATGGCATATGTGTCGGCTTCACAATCAACTGTGCGTCATTTTCCCATTCCATTACGTCTTCGAGGAAAGGGAAAGGAAGACGAGAGTTTAGCGAGCAGAAATTTAGAAGCTTTTTCCGCGATTAAATCATTATTTTAAGAAGCCGGCCCACCTAATTTGTGCTTTTAACTCTTTCATCACTAACTTATGAAAAAACAGAAACATTACGGTTTGCTTTGTAATCGATAACCGATCTAAATCGACCCGGTTAAAGCTTAAAAACAGGAATATTTTATATGATATAACCGGGAATTACAAATGAAATAGTATGTTTAACAATTAAAACATTGAAGTGAACCCCGGCCAATCTTCTTTTTACAGCGAAGTGTCTAATATAGTGTCGCAATTAATATTATTTCCGATATTTTAAAATAATACTATTAGCTTGTTTGGTCGAGTTTCATTCGTTGTGAACTCTTTAGTTATAAAGTAGTTATTGGTGATCGAGCTTAGATCACCGCCTCTAGTCTGTTACGTCTAGTCATAACTTGGAAATGTATTAACAAATAATTAATAGTATAATGGCGTTCTAGGAAGACGGGAAACTGGTACATTAGCTGATGATCTTTCATTTCAAAATATGTTTTTTTTCAAAAATTTGTATAAAATCTCAAAGTATGGTGAGACAGGGACAATCATAAAGATAAAATTGCCTGAAAAAGATAAAGAAAAAATATAAAGTAGAACAAGTGTATAAAAAGGAGCTAAAAATTATACTTAGATAAAGGACAAAGTTAACAAGGGAATTAATAGTAAACTCACATAAAGATAAATGGTCTAATGAAGTGGATCTTTACTTTACATTGTTTAGTGTTTTAAAAAGCGAGCGACTAAAACAAGTAAGTCGGTCGAGGGATAAAGGATATTAGGATAAGATTTGTAGTAGCTTGGAATAATTAATGTTTATTTTTAATTAAAATCGAAGATAAAATATCAAGTGGAGGAGTGGGAAACGTCAACAGTAGAAGTACCAAGTCAGAGTTACGAGTGCAACGCGGTCTTCAAAGTTCAAACGCGTTTCTTTTTGCTTTACATTTTGGATTTTCCCCTTTTATTAATTGAATGCTTGAGGGCTAAGTGAGTAAAAGAGATCCCAATAACACAAGAATCAACACGTACGCCCCCTTCGATGGAGAGATTGATATACAACTGTACTTATAGAAAGAAAGAAAAAAATGACATGAGATCTTCGACTACTCATGGAGAGAAAATCAACTGCATAGCTAAGTTTCCGAATACTGACGAGTCTTCGGTTTAAACGCATTTGTCACATATATTTGACTTTTAAAATTTCCATTTTATTTTATTAAACTGACTTTTTAAATACACCATTTCTTGTTTCTTTTTATGAAAAAGGTACCATTAATTGTTATATACTTTTATTTAGGGGGAAGTTAAAAGTTTTGATATTTGGATATTTGAGATGAATCAAAAATGAGTGTATAGTTCCTTGATGTTGTGTTTGTTTCTTTGTCAATTAATGGGCTTGGCCCATAAAACAATTAATGTACAATTAATGGGCTGATTCCTCTAAATTTGTTGGCTAGTCGAGTTAGAGTTGTGGGCTCTAAATTTTTGTCCAATCCAAATTTTTAAAGAAATAATTTTAGGATAAGATAGATGTTTATGGGCTCGGTCTAGATAACCGGATATCATATCGGTATATCTCTGGAGGGTCCGGTTATCACGAACAACTACACCTGTTGAACGGCGATCCCTCCAAAGTTATTCACCTTCTCTGCATATCTATTCGATTTCGAATTTTCGATCTTCCGATTTTTAGTATCGTCTCTACGCTATAATCCCCTCCCACTTTCTACGATGAATTCCGCTTTAGATTTTGCTTCTCCGGCTACCTTCCCGGCGAAATCGAGTTTTGTTGGCCGAATCCGACGCGGGCTTCCTTCTCCTGGATTCGGTTCCCGCGTAAGAGTGTGCTCTCTTCCTCCTTCTTCATCTCTCAAGGTTAATTTCTTTTCCGCTTTCTTTCTGCTTCGATTTTGTTCCCTTTCCCGCTAGATTTTTGTTTAATTTATGCAGAAACTCAATATGATTACGAAATTACTTATATTATCTGTGTCTGTGAATTGCATTCTCTCTGAAATCCAGTAAATCTTTAAAATTTGAGCTAAATTTCGATTATACATCAATGTGCTTGTCAGGATTTGTTTGATGATTACGAGTAGTACCCCAGCATTAGCGAGTATGAGTATAGCATTTATGTGTTGGTTCCACAACTCCAAATTCCTTGAATTGAATAGTGTTGCTTCTCTGTATCAGAATAGAAACGCTTCTGAATTGTTGAGCTTATCTCCCATGTAAACTGGAACCATTCCAATGTACGTCTTCAGAGATTTGTGTCGTGATGATAATGATGATTACAGGCATTAGTTACTGAATGATTTGACTTCAAATCCTGGAAAACGCTATGACTTCAAATCCTGGAAAACGTTTAGTGTTGCTTGGTTGGATATGATGATGCAGAACTCAAGCTTTTTATCAGTGTTTGATTTATCAGGCAACATTTATACATCAGTGTGATTGCGAAAGTAAAGAAGTAGAATCCTGTTTCTTATGAGAGAGATAAAGCATGGTTAGCTAACTTGAGAAAATTTGTTTGATTCCGTAGGCTGAGTCATGTTTAAAAAGAGATGTGCACAGACAAAGAAGCAGTCTCGAGTCAATGTTCTGTTATGATAAGCCAATACCAGAGGAAATAATAGAGGCTCCAGTAGGATTATCCATGTCAGAGAGAGAGATTGGTGATAATCAGCGTTGCACTTGTTGTGAAGCTAAAGGTGCATTGCTCTGTGCCACTTGCTCCGGAACTGGGCTATATGTAGACTCCATAATGGAGAGCCAAGGCATCATTGTTAAAGTCCGTTGCTTAGGTAATCCTGCATTTCTTTTTTTTCTTACTGAAGGTAAGTAGTCATGTTCCATGGAAGTTCTTCTGTCTTGCTTCTAAACCATTTGCTGCTTCTGCTGTAGTTTGTGGTGGAACAGGTAACATTATGTGCAAAAGTTGTGGCGGGCGGGGTCACATTGGGCACTGATGACTCCGAGATTCGCTTGTTTCCTGTCATGGTTTTGTCCTCAATTTACCTATTCGCCACTTTTATATGTTGTGCCTTTCTGATCAAATTGCAGAATCCTACTTTTGTCAGTTCCATATATAGTTTTGCTGTGTTCATGTATTGATGTAATCGCTAAGCTGAAAAAATTACAATCTTGTAACAGACTCGATTCATCTCCTTTTGTTAAATAAAAGATAGTTTCCTATGTGGCTGTGACTAACCATGAAATTTTATCTCTTCTACTGCTCTTTTTACTGTTTATGCATTCAGATACAGACACTGGATCCGAGAGAAAGAAAGTAAAGCAAGGAAAGGATGAGAACTGAATCGATCCTCGTCTCACTTTGTATGTAAATTCCTTCTCTAGCTGCATTTTGCATACAAAGCTAAACAATCTCCAGTCTATAGCTTGAAAAAAGCCTCAGTGACAACAAAAAAAAAAAAACGGAAAAACGAAAACAAAATCTATACTTAGTAATGTATAAATTCCTTCTCTAGCTGCATTGTGCATATGGAGCTAAACAATCTCCGATCTATAGCTTGAAAATGCCTCAGCGAAATCGAAAAAAAAAAGAAAACGAAGGTATTTTTTTCTGTACTTGGTGGAATATGTTCTTCCGCATGTTAGCTCTACGCGTATGATATATCCTCCTCCTCCTCTCGCACCGGCACTTCATGTCTGGCTTCTCTTTGTCTCTCTTCAATATTTTGCCGTGCAATACGTTGTGGAATCATGTCATCAAAAAAATCGTTCTGTGGATTCTCAGAATAAGCTACATAGTATCCCAATACACATGCTTGCAACCACGCCGAAGCAACTCTCGCCTGAAACACACCAAAAAAAACCAGGTACATGAGCTAAAGCCATTTTGATTCTTTCTATCCTTCGTTTTGATAACAAGATTCTTACCACGAAGTATCCGATGATGAAGGCATAGAGAGTCAGCTCAAAGAAGTAATCCTTATGGATCACAAGCGCCCATATTCCTGAAGTTAATGCAGAGATAGCCCCAGTTGCAATGGCACTGAGGAAGCAGATGGAGCTGGTGAGGTCAGCATCAATCAGTTCCTCCAATCCAACCATTCTTCTAAAAGCCATCCAGGTATCTCTCGACGCTTGCACAAAGGTTTTGTTGTGAGCTCCCACATGAACAAATCCCCATCTGTTTCCGATTACAATCATATGATTGGCAATCCAAGCGCAGTCTCTGTTATTTGCATACATGGTCCTGTCGCTGCCGTTGTCCAACCTATTAAAGGCTCGGATCGTTAACCTGATGAATACAAAAACTGGAACGAGCGTTGACCCAATACAAACGCTCCCGAGATGGTTCTTCAGAGTGGCGCAAAGAGCATCACATGCATTCATAAACTCAACACGCGCAAAGTATACGTATGCGGCTTTCGAGATAGCCACGAGCTGTACGTTTTTGAGAACTTGCATTGTCCAGGCCAGGATTATCACGATTATGGAGATGAAAAGAATATCTAGACGTGTTCTTGTAGCAGTAGCTCCTCCGATTCCAGCCACCAAGAAACCAGAGTAAAAGACGCTTAAGATCACTGATACAACGGCGATTGCTCTGGTTCTTGCAGGTAGTGCGGCCGTGGAGTTTGCCATAATCTTGGAGGTAAATACACGCTTCCTTTTAAGGACGAAACACCAGCTATAGACTGCCTGGAAAATGCTACAGAGCAGAATAAGTACACCGATCCATCGAACCACCTTTAAGCCGTACACATACAAGAAGATCCCGACCGAGAATGTGAACAGCGGTGCGAAATAGAACGTTGCTTTGACTGTTGCTGCTATGTTGCAGACGAAGAAGCATTGCCAGGCTAAAGAGAGAACTCCAGATAGGGCTACAGAGGATAGCAAAGGTGTGTACCATTTCTTGGGGTGGAAGTTTGGTGATTTCTTGAAGACTAGACCTCGTGATGTGAGAAAGATGACGAAGGTCGAGACTAGGATCAGTTGCAAGTAGAAAATAGTCGTGAAAAGGCATCTGCAGAATCTTCCGGTCAGTGTTGGTCGTTGTTGTTGTTGTTGTTGCTGTTGTTGTTGTTGTTGTTGCTGTTGTTGTTGTTGTTGTGGTTGTGCGGCGCGATTTGTTACGGTTTGTTCGATTTCCTGCAAAACGCAAAAGAAAGAGGGAGAAGAATCAGTAATCTCCGAGAGAGAGTATCGCTCGTAAATTTGTGGTTGAAGAATCAGTAATCTGCGAGAGAGAGAGAATCAGTGGTTGAAGAATGTGAAGAAACGACGATAATGCCGCAAAATTGAAGTCGGGAGGAAGTAAAGTCAAGTACCATTGAGAAAGACGACGGTGGTTCACGGTTTTCTTGCGGCGGAGAAACGGTGAAGAAGGGTCGAAGAGACGAGAGAGAGAGATGAGCGAGAAAAAGCGAGAGACAGAGAGAGTAAAAGAGAGATGACAGAGAAAGAAACAGAGGAAGAGAGAGAAGAGAAATGAAGATTTATATAGAGGGAGTGAGATCTTGATCTTGTGTTTCTTGAAATCTTCACGTGAGACGCAAAGCCGTTGCTTGGTTGTTATGAGCAGTTATTCAATATCTCTCTAACTTCGAGTTGGAACTGATTTAACTCTCCCTCTCTCTAGCTTCTTTCCTCGTATTATCTTCCGTAGAACGCAAGTTTCACATCTCTTTGCATCACTTGTTTTATTTTATTTTTATTTTTATTGCCGTCGTGTAAATTTTAATTACTAACCTAATTAAAATACATAACTTTGTTCCATGAATTTATACTTTCTGTTTGACCAAAAAATAATATTTAGATCTTTTTTTACTCGTTATTACATTAGCATATAGGATATCTTTTAGTCTTCATATTTCGTAATAACGAAAATACTGGTGATCAAGATTCAGTTATTTTGGCTACGTTTATATATTGAGTGGAATTACGTGGAACACAATTGGAAATGAAAGCAAAGTTTTGGAAATACCATATATATATAATATTTCAGAATTTTAGTTATATAATATTACTGTAGTTATATATTATACTGTCTTTACACGAAGATTAATGCTCTAAATGAAGATATTATATATCGTTTCAAGGAATCCAGTCGTATTTGACTTAATTTGATGATATCAGTTGCTGATGAATTTAAGTTTCGATTACTAGTATAGTTGCATTCGGAAAAAAAAGGTGAAAAAGGTTTGTCAAAAAGTCATCAAAAAGCCCAATACAAGTTTTTAGTCCCATGGAAAAACTCGGCCTTGTAAGCCTTTTGGACCCATGAATGACAACATTTTTTTATACAACCATATAAATGATACTTCGGTTTAACCAAACCGAACAAACCAGTATAATCCAAAAGAAAAGAGAAAAAACAGCTTTCTTACAGCCCTCTTCTTTTTGGTCAAACACTTTGATACAGTTTTTAAGTTTGACAAAAAAAAGTTCCTTCAGAAGCGAATTTCCTTTCCAAGTTTTTAGATAATGTATGTCAATATTTATGTGCTTCAAACTAATTCGTTGCAATTAAACTCGTTTTCAGCATAATTTATATCTCATTTTATTTTTGATGTTTTTTTATAAAGAAAAATAACATCATCCACATATGTAGTGGTATATTTTTGGCTATATCGACAAAATTTACAAAAAAATATCTACTACTGTTTATTTTAAGAATTGTTTATAAGCAAGTAATATTAAATGTAAGTACAACATATTTTAACATAACCGATGCGAACCTATTGTAAAGGAAGAAAAATTATACAAGCAAATCATTTTTGCCGTGAGTCCCTGACAGCTTCTTCACACATTTCGCCACAAAACCGACTTTGAATTAATTTTATGCATCATAAAATGTACGTATCAAAATAGTAATTGTAGCTATTTATTTAAAGTATAATTTTGTGAAAAAAATAAAGAAATTGTGTCGTAAAAATTATAGAGTTTAGTATGCACCTACTTTTCAATTTTTGACTATCATCATCAAGCATGACAGTTTACCAACAAATTGATACTTTTTAACTATTAATGGATAGATAATTTGACGACTAAACAGATCAATTACCCAATCTCTGGGTACTTGAGTACACGGAACAATTGTTCTGGTATCGATACATTTATTTTTACTGAATTGCTTATTTGTCTTTTCAATAGAATACAATTCAAGAGATTTTAAGAAATTAAAATATTCCCTCAATTCATAAGTTGTTGAGTGCAATTATGTTTGGTTGTTGTACATGTGCCATTGACTATAATCAAATCAAGCAGATACAATTAACGGTAATGTCTACAACTTAAATCCGTTTTTTTTCCCTAAGTCCATCAAATAATTCTCAATCATATAAAAGTCTTATTAATTAATAAATATAAAATTCAATATAAATATGTTAGAGCCAAGTGGTTTTAAAGAAAATTCGTTTGTAGGTACTATCATATAGTTTAAAATAGCTCTTTCATTATATTGACATATACATTTCTTTCAAAATCGAAATCGGCAAAGGAAAAAAATGAAAGTGAAATAGATTACGATGAAACTGCCACCTTATCGACCATGTAATTAATTATATTTCTACTACTATCAACTTAGCTGGATCAAAATTTTAGTCCGTAAAGTATATAAATATTTACAACATGGCAAAGGAATGTTCACAAAGTCGCTCGCACGCCTTTGCAAACGTTTCTAAGCATAATTCATTTAATATTAATATAACCTTTGACATTCGCATGTATTTGCTCATTCGGCATATATGAGATGTATTTTTAATTTTATAAGTTATTTTAATCAATATTCGAGGGTTGAGTTTCTCGTATATATACCTTCCGGTTGATCTCGAAGGTCTCACAATCCTTTCCACGAGAAGAAAAACCAATACTAAGAAGAAAAACTCATCCAAGAAAATGATGAAGTTTTCTTCTCTTGTTGTGTTTTTCTTTATTTTCCCAATCGCATTTGCTCAACTCCGAGTCGGGTTTTACAGCCAGTCATGCCCTCAAGCCGAGACTATCGTACGGAATTTGGTGCGCCAGCGGTTTGGTGCTGACCCAACCGTCACTGCCGCTTTGCTCCGTATGCATTTCCACGATTGTTTCGTTAGGGTAAGACTTTACTATAGCATTTTGATATGGCTCTAACATTTTCAAACATCTAAACTTTTCGTTGATGAATATGTGGGAAAAATACGTTGTTGTATAAAATAAAATGTATATTTTTAGAAAATTTTCATAAAAATTAATTACACCAATTTCAGATCATATCATTTAGTCTGGTAGTTAAATTTTATATCAATAACGTTTACTCGTGCTTTGTAGGGATGCGATGCTTCGCTCCTTATAGACTCAACCAACTCTGAGAAAGCTGCCGGTCCAAACGGAAGCGTCAGAGAATTTGACCTGATCGACCGCATCAAGGCTGCGCTAGAGGCCGCGTGTCCCTCCACGGTCTCATGTGCCGACATCGTAACATTAGCCACACGTGACTCGGTGGCATTAGCCGGAGGCCCAAGCTACAGCATCCCCACGGGAAGGCGTGATGGTTTGGTCTCGAACAGTGCTGACGTGGCCCTACCTGGTCCAACCATCTCTGTCTCTGGAGCCGTCAGTTTCTTCACAGTCAAAGGGATGAACGTGTTCGATGCCGTGGCTCTTATGGGTGCACACACCGTTGGTCAAGCAAACTGTGGTCTGTTCAATGATCGCATCACTAACTTCCAAGGAACCGGACGACCTGACCCGTCCATGGACCCCGCTTTGGTTTCCAGGTAATTTTAAACCGGTTTGGTTCAATCAAACACCCACCAAATTCAAGACTGAATACTAATTTTAAAAGAACCTGAAATTTACTTTATACTTTGTTTAACTCAATAGCTTTTGATTTTATATAAAAAAAAAAGTCAATTCTCTAACTTTTGAAATCTTCAAAACGTATCCAACTATATATATAATTGTCTTTTCATATATGACATTTTCAATGGTTGATATCATCTGAAGGAAAAGAAAAGGATATCTTTCAGTTAGTTAATTCCAAGAAGTTGGATTTTTAAGACATTGTTTCTAAGAAAGTTAGAAAACGAATTTCCCTATGAAACCCTAAGCAAATTAGTTTCACATTCAATAAGCTTTTATTATTTTAACTCATCAGAATGATATTCTAAATGTTTTTTTTTTTTTTTGTAATGATGTAGCCTAAGGAACACATGTGCAAGCAGAGGTTCTGCGGGACTAGAGCAATCGACTCCATTGAGGTTCGACAACCAATTCTTCAAGCAGATCCGTAAAAGGAGAGGAGTGTTGCAAGTTGACCAAAGGCTCTCGTCAGACCGACAGACTCGTGGTGTTGTGGCTCGATATGCAAACAACAATGCCTTCTTCAAGCGTCAGTTCGCTAGAGCAATGGTGAAGATGGGAGCCGTTGATGTGCTTACCGGTCGTGCCGGTGAGATCAGGAGAAATTGCAGGAGGTTCAACTGATGAGCTTGATGAATCACTACTAAAGTGTGATGATAACAAAATTTGGAAAACCTATGGTTTCTAAGTCGTATTTCTGTTTCTGTTTCATTTTTTTTGGACTTTTGTTTCTTAAATAAGTTTTTTCTTGAATCGGACATAAAGTTTCGATTCTTGAAAAAATTAACTATATCTTGTTCTACATGTTGAGGATGCATCTTTTAACGATTATTTTAATTTGTGGTATTGACAATATTGATCAAGTATCTTTGTCCATCATTTATCAAACATAGACTGTTTCTATATTTATATTGTTTGTTCTCCAATATAATTTTATACGCTGGATTCATTCATTCATTAAGTAGAGAAACCAAAATCAGAGTACAATGGAAGGAGATCAAAACAGAACAAAATGGCACCAGTGGGCACCTTAAAAAGGGATAAAATCAAGGAGAAAGCTCCTGATTGAAAGGTTAGGGACGGAGAGAGATGTCCCAAAGGTTAATTATCATCCAACACCTTTTAGATGAATACTCTCATACTTTTTTCGTTAACTGCCAGATAAATTACGTACAGTCTGCAGTTTTTGAAAAAAAAAAAATATATATATATATATATAGTTGAAACTCAAGTGTCTTTTGAGTAATTCCAAAGAGTCGCAATAAATTTTAGTAATTATTTGTGAAAAATATTACAGTTATATGATATATGTATGAATCTGTCTGTTAACTGATCATTAGTACTTCATAGTTTTTATTTCTATAATACAAACTAAATGAAAAAGTTAGTAAGAATTTAGCCTTTTGGCTCTTCTTGTAATTGCTAATCATTAAAGTGCGCAACATAGTTGTGCCATTTGTTTGGTGTGTTTTGGACCAAAGCAAGAATTTTAGTTTATTGTTAAGGAAAAGTGTGTAGACGTTTTCTTAAATAGGAGATGCAAACGATACCAATCAGATTTGAAATGTTTTAAACTAAAACATCTACTATACATCTTGTCAGTTTGTAAAGTGTAGAAGGATATTTTTCATTTGGTGCGGATACCCGAAAACCTGAAATTTTACATAAGAGCAATAGTCTCATGATTAACTTGAATTTCAATAAACCTCGTACAATATAAAGTAAAAACATAGTACTATATTTTTTTAACTAAAATATAATGTTATGAGGTTATAGATCATAGAACTCTATCAATAGTCGTTCGTAGAATAAAAATTGATTAAGGATTCGATGTAAAAAAAATGGATTGAGATGTAACAAAAATTGTTTGTTTGACTAAATTGTTGCAAGACTGCAAGACGAGTAAATTTTTCTATATTTCTCTCTATTTGACTAGAGGAAAAAGAGAGCTCTTGTTATCCGTTTTGTCAGGCTGCATGCATATAAAAATTACATATATTTATTGTAATATATGAGTTCTCTCTTTTCCCCCTAGAAGTAATTTTTTTGTTTGTCTTCTTTCTAGTTATTTTTAGTGTCCCTATGAGTGATCTGCAGATTCACCGGCCAAATCAACAAATCTCAACTTACTTAATAGGCGCCAGCTCTATTATTTGTAAACTAGCTCACAATGTTCACACAAAACTTTTTCTTAACGATATGTTCCATAAAAATCATTTCCACGAATCAGATGTGTGTATACAGAACTAGTATATACATACACACTTATACAACAATAATACAATGCTCTTATACCCTTACGCAACATAATGATGCATATATGACCAGGCAACTTTTATACCAAAAGCTTTACAGAAGAAGTTTGAGATTGAAATTAAAAAAAAAATTCCGTTTTTTCATAAAACTTTAATGCTTATTTTTTTAGTATATTCAACCAAGGAAAGAAAAAAAAACACAGTGTACGATTTCGTGTAAATTACACTTCAAAATGCTAGAAAGTTGTAATTTCAAATATATATATATACTATACTGCCATACAAAGATAATGGATAGAACAAATTAATGCAGTTAAACAATAACGAATTGACTATGCATTATAACAAAAAAATATGGGGAAGATAGGGAAATAAAAGTTAAAGCTAAAAAAAAAGTATGCATCATAAAAAATAAACATTTTTTAAGGTCCAGAAGACTTTATATATACAAAATCGTCCTAGTTTATTAAATCTTTGCGTATATATGTAGGTATATATTAAAGAGAGAGTCCGTACATTGATACAGAGAAGGACCACATAAGGAAGATTTCAGAAGAAATTACGAAGTCTCAAACTCTTACAAGATTTTGGTCATCAGGACCACAAAGAGAGTGTCTTACGGATCACTTTTGTGAATCCTCGTACAGTCTCTGCCGGATCCCTAGAGGTCTACTTTATTCTAACTATAAGACTTTTCTTTACCGATGTAAATGTCTTATTTTTTTTCAAAGATTCCGATGCTTCATGACGTATTGTGCGCATACATAAACACTAGAGCTTTTTATCTTAAATTAGAGAATATTACCACTAGATACACTTTTTGAAAGTGTAATTGCCCAAAAAGACACTTTATCTTATTTTGTTCTCATTTTTGGACTTTTTACCTTTTTTTTTTTGTTTTAATAAAACATACGGGACCCACTTAAATTGACTCATCAGTTTCTACACACTAAATCGTATGAGACCCATCTTAATTTATTAGTTTTCACACATTAAATCACACAGGGTTCACGTATATATATGCAACTATATAGATACACATGTAAATATGCACATATATAAATATATCCATCTATAATATATGCATGTAGATATGCATATATATATATATATGTATCTATATAGTTATATCAATTTATATTCTATGTACGTAGATATGTATATATATTTATATATTGTGTGTTCACGTGTACGCTATTATATGGAAATGTATGTGTATACATATATATTTATATAATTGTATAGATATTCATATATTTATGTCCATGTGGACGCTACTATATGGATACCTATGTGTTTATCACTAAACGACGAAAAAATTTAAGTTAAAAAATATAAAATAGGTATCAAAGTATTAAGAAAAAATTATATGATTTATAGTGTCAAAATAATTATTCGATTATTTTTTAAATAATAAATAAATAACAACAAACAATTATGAAGAGTGTGTGATATTAATATAATATTAAATAAAGAAATAATATAGATAAGTAAACAAAATGGTTAAAATAGTCATTTGTCTCCTCCAAATAGTAACTAAAACACAAAAGTCCCTTTTTTTGATATTAGATAACTCAAAAATACACCTAGTGGTGGTAACACATTCTAAATTAAAACATCTAGAAACTTTTTTTTTTGTTAAATAAAACATCTAGACTCTCTCCTTTTTCTAATTGTAGACGTCTAATGACTCTATATTAGTAATAATTACCATGTTTGAGGTTTTAAATACATCCTAAACAAAGAGATTTTAAAATATTTAAGTTGCATCAGTGAATCATGTATAAGATTTTGAGGCTTCACTTCAAGTCTCCGACGTCCCAAAAGTCGTGGTTTTGGATATTGGAAGTGGATAGAGATCACAATAAAAAAAAACAAGTTGGATGACAAATTAATTATCTATCAGTTTAAACTACAAATTGTTTGAAATCTCCAATATCTATTTTTCCGACCAATTAATTAGAAAATTGATTTCCGTTTCACGAAAAAGTACAAACAGCTGGGAAAGTTATAAAAGACAAGTAATACCCAGTTGTATCAACTCAGTCACAGTCGGTAGTAATATATTAAACATAATTTTTTGCTCATTCTTGACCTATTTCATATATATATATTTTTTAAAAAAAAAAAGCTGTACAACAGACGCAATTTAGGCAGGTATTGGGATTTTCTTTTTTATTTAATAAGTCACGGGGGATAATTTCACTACTCATAGTAATTTGGCTGTTTCCTGACGTGCATGAATTCTAAAATCTAATAAAACAACTATAAAGGGAATTTCAGTTAAAATTGTAAACATAAGGAATGCAAGGTGAATCTCTTCATAATGTTACCATCACTGACCTCTTTCACACTTCTATGTAGAATATGTATGCCAACTTCTAAAATACGTCATCCTATTACACATTTTACCATATCTATCTCCAATTCCCTCACAGATCAAGTGTCACCACAATTTTTTTTTTCTTGGTCATGACTACAAAATTAAGACTAGGGAATTCGCTTAATATATATATATATATATATGCAACATACCTCGATATATCGGTTATAACTTCAAAGGGTGGCATTGGCAATGTGAAAAGCAAGAAAAAGTACAGAGTAGTATTTTGAGATAGTAATATATAAACCAAAAGAAAAAAATGGAAACAGCTAAGAAAGTACCATAGATCGTCAATAACCAGAAGGCATCTGAAAGAAACAGATTGTCGTCGATTGTATCCTTCAACACTCTTCAACTTTTAACGTATATTATATTATACATGCACACTTATCAATATATACGCATACGGTACACCGTACACGGACAACTTTATTAAGAATCAAAAGGAAGTATTTATAAAAAAAAGGCGATGGGATCGAATTGGTTAAATGTCTGATTTTGAATATTATTTCACCAAAATATTTAATAGAGATGATTTGTGTTCACTCAAACTCACGTAATAATCTATGTTTTTTTCTACTCTTTATTCGAGTTTTAGAAAACATTTTTTTGGTTAATTTGTTAGATTCAACAATTTTTATATACAGTCACAAAAAACAAATTAAATTTTAATTAGCTGTTTTTCTTTGTTCTAAAATTGATCGTTGAATGTTAATGGATTTAAAGTATACACTAGCTAAAATTAATTAATATTTATTTTTCATGCATACACTGGTATATATAAGGATTTATATATGCTTCACGGATAAATGATACTAATGGACTATATACTAATGATATATATATTCTAAAACAAACTAGAATAAATTCTAAAATTCAAATGGACTAAGTAAGAAATATTGATTGCTGTAGCACCTTGATCTAATAAGCAATTCTTGTAGATATTGATTAGTAAAGGATATACATATTGTGTAACTAAAATAAAATACTGAAGTTTTTATCAAGTCATTGGTTAGATACAACGCAAACGTAACTTTGGAAAACTAAATATAGAGGTGAAACAAAATCTTACGTATCTATTTCTTGTCATTTTTAATATTAGTTTACAAAAATCTCGATCAACTATAAGATTCACGTAGTGTTATTTTTCGTGACAAAGATAAAAACGAATCTTAAAAATTATAATTATACATTCACATAATTGTGTTATTTTTCGTGACAAAGATAAAAACGAATCTTAAAAATTATAATTATACATTCACATAATTAATAAAGAAACTCTTAAACAAGTATTTATCTCAAATTTATGATTTTTCTTTTACATTATTTGCTTTCTTCGTGTTTGATTCACAACACATAGAATAATAAAATACCTCTTATATCAAATGTTTAAATATTTATAAAGTATGTAAAACGAAATGTATTTTGGTGCATAACTTACAGACATAATTAGTTACGTGCATGGGTTATAATGTTATGTTTTATCGAGTTATGATCTTTTGTGTAAAATAAACAAATCTATAGTATTTACGTGGGGAGTCACCACAACATACGCAAATAAATAGTTTTACTATTTAGTACTATAAGAAAGATACGAGTAATGTATTATATTTTTGAATTGATTTTTTTAATTACCCAAAAAAAAGGTTTGGAAAATTTAAAATTAATGGTCAAGATGATCTAGTTATTTAGTTGGATATACCGTAAAAATGTTATTCTATAAAGTTTGATGCATATGTTTGTAGTTAAAATATCTGCGATAAAGATCAATATAGTATTGATCGGCTAATGTTGTTTATATATGAGCGTGAGGTGCTCTGAAACTTGTCTCATCAATCGATATCTCAATTTAAGACAAGTTCTACTTGACAAACAAAATCTTTTTGGCCTCTGTTGCATGACGTCATGATAATCTTTATTCTACTTTTACATATATGATAGATAGGGTAGACTATATTTACATAATCCAATTTATATTACTAGACTACATGTTATGATCGATATATTCCTTACTAGTTGGTTATATCATCAAATGATATGCAACCCAATTTATACCATTAAACTATATATCATGATCGAACACATTAATTCATTGCTAATTGGATCATACAATATGCAACCCACATTTCTTGCTAATTGGTTATACCATCATACAATATGCAACCCCAGTTTAATATTCGTCCGCCTGTTGGAATACGTGTTAACATATTCGACCGTACCTATATACAATATTTAAATTTAAGTGAGAACACTACAGTAGTGTAACTTAATATTTAAGTAAAAATAAAAAAAGTCATTGAGAACACTCTCCTATAAATTCATTATACAGATACACACTCCCCTCAAGTCACCACAAAATCTCCTCCTATTTCTAAATATCCATAAAAACACGAAAAACAAAATAGAATCTAGCAATATTGATAATAAATGGATCAAGAAGGATCATCAAAAAGCCATACCGGGCAGGGCCTTTCTCACTCCGTACCCTCGAATTCTACCGAGCCGGTCCGGTCGCGTTGGTCACCTAAACCGGAGCAAATCTTGATACTCGAATCCATCTTCAACAGTGGTATTGTTAACCCACCAAAAGAAGAAACGGTGAGGATAAGAAAGATGCTTGAGAAATTCGGTGCAGTGGGAGATGCAAACGTCTTCTACTGGTTTCAAAACCGACGGTCAAGATCTCGCCGGAGACAGCGGCAGCTTCAAGCAGCCACAGCCGCAGCCACCACGACCAGAGGAGCTGCAGAACACCAGCATATGACGAACATGAGCATGCATCAATATCCTTACAGCAACAGCGAGATTGATTTGGGATTTGGAAGTTGTAGCAACTCATCAGCTAATAACTTCTTTAATGAGTCCTCATCTCAAGTCTCTTCCTTTCTTCTCGAGCTCGCTTCTTCTTCTGCGAGTGGTGGCAACAATAGCATGGAGAATCTCTTCACAATGTATGGCCATGAATCCGATCATCATCAGCAGCACAGCTCAATTGACGCATCAATATTAAGCCCATCGGATCAAAACTCCGATTTCCACTACCAACAAGGTGAATCAATTATTTGCATGGCTCATTAATTACTCTATATATACCGCAAAGTTTTGGGTTTTTAGATTTTTAACCGGGAAGAGAACCTTTGAAAATACAGTAGAAAGAGTTAGGTGTGTTTCAAACCAATTTTTTATGTGAGGCAAATGGAACATCATGTATTTTGAGAGCTAATTTTAAAATATTTTTTTCTTATATATATATTAATTAACAAATAAAAGGCTTAATGACGGTGTTCATAAATGGAGTTCCGACGGAAATAAAAGAAGGAGCAATAGACATGAAAGCAATGTTCGGTGAAAATTTGGTGTTACTTCACTCCTCTGGTCTTCCTCTTCCCACAGATGAGTTTGGTTTCTTGATGCATTCTTTACAACATGGCCAGGCTTATTTCCTGGTACCTAATACTATCTCCATTTTGTCTTATATATTATCTATTTAATTAGTAAATTCTAATATAAATATATTCATAAATGATTTTCAGACCTTTGTTTCTATGTTCGTCTGCGGAATGTTTTCTATAAATTATGAGATAAATGTGTTTTTCCTACAAATTATCTGATAATTTGTAGAAAATGTTCGGAAACCTAATTCTGGTCAAGCCTAAATGTCTGCAGAATTTAACCTCGAGAACCCATTTCACTATGTTATTAGAGCATAAAGTATTTCTTCAGAAAATATTTTTAAAATACACCAATTTGATGATTGTCGGTTTATGTAATAAATGAATTTTTTGATATATTAATATATGTAACTGAAGTTTTGTGATAAAACTAAAACTTTACAGAGTGATGTCAGCTCTTATTCGTATATATATAAATATATGTATCTGTGACGTAAATAAACATGTCTCTGTTTTATTTCTAAAAATAATAGCCAAGAACACAAGAACCAATAACCTTTGTAACATTTTGAGTATTCTAGTGAGTTCATTGGTAAAGGGACCTTGGGAACTTATATTTTCTCTTGGTCAAATAAATTGGCGGTGTCAACATTTCTAGTTATATAAAATGTTGTTAACTGGTTATCAACAAAAAAAAAAATGTTGTTAACCATTGGTTAGGGTTTTCAATATTATTATCAATTAATAAACTAGCGCAGATATAATTAGAAATCTAACCCAAAAAAGAAGAAGTATAAATCTTAATTGGTTTGAAAGTCTTTTTTCTATATAACAAGATTTAATTAGAATATTTTGTTATTTGTTTTCATATTGTCATCGACAGGTACCAAGGCAGACATGAATTGCATGGCTATTTTGTGTTGCAACATATACGGTCGAGTAATTTTTTTTTTCTTTTCTATTACTTCTATTGATTTTGCGTCTACCATGTATAATTAGATTGAATATATGTTGGACTCGTGAATCGTGATATATTGTGTTTCCTTGTCGATTCTTGCTCGCCTGAACACAAACCTCAATATACAAAACAAGCAAATCTCAATGGAGATCTGGTTTGCCGTTTGTAGAAAAACATGTCCATTTGACATTTTGATTAAAAGTATGTGCTCACTTCTTTGTGGGCTTTATTCGGCCATTTCTAGTGGCCTTTTAATTTAACGGACACTAGGGATACGACCCGACCTGATCCAACCCGAGTGAATTGAGATTTCTAAAACAGTGATTGAAATTTCATTTTTCACATCCGATTAGTTACTTCTGAAGCTCAAAGTAACCCTCCAAGAAAATACTTAAAATATTCCTAACAATTCATTCTAAAGATGTAATAATTTTACAACCATATTTTGTACTAGAGAAATATTCCCAACAATTCACTGTAATAATTCAAATCATCAGCTGAATTTAATGTGTAGGAGATGTAAATAATAACTAGATTTTACCCCGTGCATTCGCACGGAAATTTTGTTTAAATGAAAAATTTTAATCTAATTTATGTTTTTTTAATAAATATATTTTTTTAATAAGTGATATAAAAAATTTGTATTTAGATATAATTTTGTTTTCAGTATGATCACCATGATCATAAAAACATAATTTTAACCCGATTATTTTATTAATCAAAAAGTAACCATTATTATAAAAATATATTTCTAACTCGTTCATTTTATTAATCCGAAAAAGACCATGATTATGAAATCATAATTCTAACATGCCCGTTTATATTACTTTATAATATAAATATTTACTAATTTTGAAATAATTTTCTCTTAATATCTTGCATGTTTTGATAATTAACCTAATCCGCATAAAATTATAAAAAAAATTTAACTTGTCCCATCAAATTATTATATAATATTAATATTTATCTATTTTCAATATGTGAAATTTTAATATGATAGAATATGATTTTAAAAATATAATAAAATATTTGTTAATCATATGTGTTATTCTGAAAATTTTATTTAAATTTCAAATGTTAAATTAAATCGAACCTATATTTAAGAAAATCTATTAAATAAATATCTATAGACTATAAATATAACCTATATTTAAGGAAAATTTTAGTTATCTAAATAAATATATAATTTTCGAAATTAAATTTATATATATAAAAATATATTTTATTTTAGGAGTGTTTGGAAACAAACACTAAAAGTGCTTCTGTTTTAATATAATAGATGGAACAATTTTGCGAACTTACTCTAATTCTACTGGAAAGAAAGTTATATTCAATTTTTATTCCTTAGTTACTGACTTGTACGATTAATTATTTTTTTTGTTTTTGTTTTCCCTCATACACAAGATAACTTCTACCAGATTTAGCCCAAATTAAAATGTTAAGAAAACATGCCTAAAATTAACCACGAAAATAGAAGAAACTAAACCCATTTTTTTTTTATCTCACATTTCTGATTTCTCTCATCATAAACCCTAATTCCTTAAATAATAAATCAGGATCCAACTCCAAGGAAATCAAAGAAATAAAATCCACTCTTCATCTGCATCTCCACCTTCCTCTCACAGACTGTGATTGTGTGGTGATATTGATGGTCCATCTTTTTACCATATTTGCCAATCACTTCTGCCCTCTGCACACACTGACCATCTTTACCTGCAAAATTATCAAAATAATTTTTTTTGTAGCTCCCACGTGAATTTGTTGTATTGAAATAGTAACGTGACATTGTACTTCACCTCCTTATATTATTATACCTATAGGTACTATTACGATGTAAAACACTGTTTCTTTCTCTCTTGTCATTCAAATTGTAATTATTTCCGTGTATATGAAATTGATAAAAAGTGGTCACTCGTCGTCGGTTCTATATATTATGTATATGCTAAAATTGTTCTTCGAACACTGAAAACAAAAATCGTAAGACCGGAATCTAATCTAATTTTAGACCAAAATCAGTAGTTGTTAATACAAACAGATCATGATAAACGGTAACAGCCAGTTAAAATTAGTATCTGATCTCGACCAACCGACCGGAATCTTTATAATTAGATTCACGAAAAAATGAAAAAAGAAAAACATTCCAAGTTTCTATACTTTTGCATATCTCAAGAATGTCGTGAGATAATTTCTTATTTGTAAGAGACATTAGTAATAAAAAATAATTAAACAAGCACACAGATAAAATGTTACCTGAGGCAAGGGTATTGTCGTAATTCAAGAAGAGAGGCTGGTGAGTCGAGGAAGGCGGAGTGAGAGACAGCTCCGTAGTACAAGTAGAGACAGCTGAACCATCTTCTTCGTCATCGTCATCACTGACAAAACTACCCTTCGCTACTTTACCGTAGAACTCAGCGTGATGATAGCGGCTTGAGGACGAGACCGTCATTTCAGCGTTTCCTGACGGTGCCTGAGGAGGCTGTTGACGTAGTCGTTGACTTTCTCTAGTCCGTCGAGCCATGATGACGTGCCAATGGTTCTTGACGGCGTTATCGGTCCGTCCCGGGAAGAGACGTGAGATCAAAGCCCACTTGTTGCCATAGGCTCGGTGTGCCCCCAAAAGCCTAAACTCTTCTTCCTCAGTGAAGGCTTTCTTGTTGATCCTTGGGTCTAGCTGGTTAAACCATCTCAATCTACAACTCTTTCCTGAAACCAAATAAGCAACATTAACTACCCTTTAAAAATATTAATTAAGTACTGTCAAATATGTTACTGATGTTATTATATATGATTGCATACGTATAGCCCTAAACATATAGCCTTGTCTAACTAAATTATTATGTATTTAAAAGCTGTATATATTTTTTAATATGCACTAGCTAAGTTTGTAGAAAATACTATATTTCAAAAAAAAATATTTTCCTAAAAAGATTTTTAAAAAATACTTACATTTACGGGATTTTGAGTAATAAAACAGAGAGTAATAATTGACTAAATAATTAAAAGTAAAATAAATGTACCTGATCTACCAAGAAGGTGGTGAGCAATCAAGTTCCAGTTTTGGGGACCAAACTGGGCAACAAGCTCCTTGAGTTTAGCATCTTCTGTTGGTCTCCAGTGTCCTCGTGAGCATGCTTTTGTGTTCATTCCACTTTTGCCCCTCCTTTTGAAGCTATTTTCGCTTTCACCCCCATCTCTCTCATGCTCATCTTCCGACTTTAAGACTGAGACTGATTTGTTGTGAGGATGGTTTCTAACGAGAGAGAAGTTAGTGTGCGAGTTTGGTGGAGATCCGAGGTTGTTTGCTTCTTCGAATCTTCTCGACCCATTGATGGTTTCATTACCTGTTAGATCTTTGTCAAGGAGAGTTGGATTCATTTTTTCTTTTCTGGGGTTTAGGGATTAAAGAAAGAAAGACCATGAACAGGAGAGAGAGATAGGGAGAGGGAGCACTTGAATGGCTTTTCACTGTTTATATGGTGGAGGAGGAAAGAGAGATTCTCTAATTTTATTTTTATTGAGTTATATTTAAATTTGACTGACATTTTCTTAGAAGTTAATATATATAGAAGAATATTTTTTTTTATATGATGATGAGTTGTTCTTCAGAAGTACACACCAAAAAAATAAATTGATAATTTTTGTTTATTACACACCAAAAATGTGTAGAGGAAAATTTATTAAAGCATACTCAGTCGAATATTTTATTAATTATCATTTTTATTTCTTATAGACTAGGCAATTCCATTCCAATAGTTTTATCTAGTTACGTACGATTTATCATTAAATTCTACTTTTAGTCGTTGGTGGTCTTGAAAATTCGATCGTAAAATATATCAAAGCGGATCTAAAACAATTTTCTAATCAATATTTTTGTGACCTGCCTGTTAAGTTTTTCTTATAAATAGAAAATGTATCATAAAGAATTTCTGTTCACGTTTTTCTTCAAGTTGCATTCTCTTTTATTTTCTACTTAACGAAAATTTCGAATAATGTGATACTTTTAGTACTCTCTCTCTCTCTCTACACGTGCAAAAGTAAGGCTTTGGAAAAGTCGGTGGGTACGTGTAGTTTTGTTGCATGCAAAACAAGACCCGCTCGTGCGTGTGGAGGGTTCGATGACTGTAGTCTGTGGGTCCTATAGATTCAACAGTCTCGGAAACTCCAAAAACATTTTTGAACCGCTCGTGTGGCTCTACTATACACACAAACATATATTGCACGTGTGCACGTACGTACGTGTGTGTGAGTTAATTATGGGGAAAACAACAGAATCAATATTTGTCTGTTTCGGACACAAAGCAAGAAAGGATCTTAAAGGGAGAGAAATAAATTGCTTTTCTCGGTTTTTCGGTTCTCCATAACGTAGATATATATATATATATATATTCATATATATTCGCATGTTTCAAAGAATATGTTTTCTGTAAATAATTATTAATTACTCATGATTAGCCCAACAACTAGTTTAATTAAGTACTTTCAAGATCTTTTAGTTACCAAGAAAAAAAAACTTTTGAACAAAGGATTCGACGTCGTTTTTAGATCTATACGTTATTACTTGTATATTCAGTGACCTCAAACACACATCCAGTGAAATCAATCAATGTTTGTTTTTTGTTTTTGAACATTAGCACTCGAACATTAATGTTTTTTTTAAGGATTAACTCGAACAATGTTGTGCGACAGTTAGTGGAAAAACAGGCGTCGCAAACTAAGACATATATATGTATTTTCTATTTCTTATCTTTTTATCATAAATATCTTATGATCATATATTCATATATATGATATGTGACTACTTTGATATCTCGTGTTGCAGCTTCATTTAGAGAAAACGGGAAAAACAAATTCCGAAAAAAGAAAAAAGTTACTGACCTCGTTGTTAATTAACCAATATTTCTTATCAAGAAAATGATGTTCTTGCTATTAAATTTTAGTTTTAAAACTCAAATCCCTGCATATGTATTATTCAGGAAGATATATCATATTTAATCTGTAAGTTTTTTTTACTTTAAATTGGTTAAAATAAGTTATAGTAAATAAACTTTGGAGTAAGAAAAATTAGGAGCAGCTACAAGTAAAAAAACGTTAATGGTGACATAAAAAGCTTAATTGTTCGAAAACCCAAATATTTAAAGAAACAACGAACTATATTTAAAACTATCAATGTTCAATGATATGATATGTGTACTGCTCTTATAAAACATTACAATTAGACTTTTCTTTGAAAAAAAAAACTTATTGAACTTTTTTTTTTTTTTTGAACCTTAAAAAACTTATTGAACTTAGGCTTGAGATCTTAATATCTTTTCATATTAGAATTGAATGGTCACATGTCTGAATGTAAAAGTAAATTTTCATGCGTAATATCTGACTCTAGTATTGATATGACGAAACAAAACAATAATTTATCTTTAGAGCAAATCATTGAGTTTTATTAATTGTAATGAGTTAGATCGAGTAGGCAAACCAATCAATTTTGATAGATTAAAAAATGGAACTTTAAAAAAAAATGTAACTGAAGCCGAACTTGGAATTCAACAAAAGCGAAGACTGAAATAAACATAAAATACAAAGAAACGTTAGAAACCAAAGAAAAGACAGAAAAGTACCCAACAAGTTATTTATAGTGCCTTGTTTTATATGAGTTTCGGTTATGGGAACGGTTTCGTTAATTTTGAAATCTTCTGCTGACGACAAATCAAAAAAGTCTTGTACCGACGTGGAATGACGACATCATTGAACTGTTACACACGAGCGGATCGTGTTCCTACCTAACACGTGTCCCATCATCACGTATTTCTGTTTTGGTTCAAAGAAGAGATCCTCGAACCGTTATGGACCAATTCCACCTTTTTTTTTTTGGTTATGACTTGAATGATAAATAACTAATGACATCTTACAGGTCATAGTTTTCGACCATGGAAGAATTTTTCCCAATGACAAAGTTTTCGAACTGTAATATGAAAGCCATCAACAATAAAAAAGGTTAAAAAGAGGTGTTTAGTATGAGATTATATTTCATCAAATGCCAAACGACTGTATTTTAAAATTTTAATTGTTAATTCAAGATTATCATAAACTTGACGTCCTTAATTCAAATTTCTATTGTGACAAAATAGAATCATAATTTATTTATTATAGATGCTAATTTAAAACCATAGAGGAGGTTAAAATTTACGATTGTTAAAATAAATCAGAATAGTGGAACAAAGTGATGATTAAAAGCGATAAGAGGTGATGCTACGATAAGTTCACTTGTACATTTAATTGATAGGGGACAACGGTATAATATTTTAGAAATATTACACTAAAATGAAAAACAAAAGTTCGGATAAAAAAAAGATTAATAAACTCTTATCGCTTTAAGATAATACTAATAGTAGTACAAGTGGTCTTATTTTTTGTACTACTAAAATGTCACAAATCACTTCCAATAACTTGAGTTTAATATAGTCAACTGTTACGCATGATGACTTTGATTAGTAACAATTGTTCCTTGAAAAAAACACATTGTATCGGTGTCGTATAATGTGTATCATCATCATCTTCTTTTTCGATTAAGTGAAACAACGGTAAAGAGATGGTGGTCTGGCGAGTTGATACTACCTTTTTTTTATTTTATTGCTATTTCATACTGTTTTGATATATAACCATTTTGTATTATTATCTACCATGAAAATTATACTGCCTTGTATCATCTCTCAGACATAATATAAACTCGAATACGGTAAGTCGGTAATTAACATGGTGATTTGACGGGGGTCACTAGACAAAAAAAAACCAGCTGGATTGAATTCGTTTTGATGGAGAGTAGGATTGCATTATATACATAGTATAGACCCGCCAGACCAGGTTTGTCATTCGATGAAACCGGCGATATAATTTTTTGGACAACCATTCATCAGTTTGAATTGGTTAGTGGTTTTCATCAGTAAAAAATACTGATCGGTTAGAGTTCTTATATTTGTTTTTTCTTTTTTGTTCAGCGACTGCAGATTTGCTTCCTTTTGGAAACACAAATGAGTAGAAACATCCAATACGAAATTGGGATGTTACATAAATGTAAGATAGTTAGAGGCTTAGACATTTTCTGTTAATGTGCCACATAACTCCTAAAAATTTATACTCTAAAAAGATAATTCTAAACATCTAGAGAGAATCATGTTTTAAGGCAACTTTCAGGAAATTCAAAACCAACCCGTAGTCAAATACAATTCGCATAGCTAACGATTTTCTCATAGAAGGAATTTTATCCTTTTTTTAATATGAGATTTATATGTTTAACTATGGTATAAGGTATTACAAACAATTACAGTAATTTTATCCTTTTCTTTAATACGAAATTTATATTTTTTTTAGTCGAACAAATATTTTAACAGAACCATAAAACAAAAGGTGGTGAGAGATGGAAAAATCGAAACTCCAAATGCTAAAATATTATTGTTTTGGTAATTGGTACTCATGAGATAAGCCACACTAATTACATTCACTTAGAGAAAGTTTATTGATTGGCTTTAAAGAGGGCACTTTAACTAATTTGAGGAATTTAGGGCTTTATCTCATGATGTAATGACATAAAGTTTCTTTATATAATATAAATTTAATTATAAATCATGTCATAGTTGTTAACCGGTCCATTGCACTTGTATCATAGAACTAACATATCACATCAGAGTATAAATAGTAATTAATTATGATAAAATACATTTTTGGGGGAATTAATGAGGTTATACCTTACAGACTAGATTGAAGTCATTATCGAGGCAGTTAATTGTCCACGCACTCATCAATATTTTAGTCCACAACCACAAGGATCCAAACAAAATTTAGTAAATAGCTTAATGTATGTAAAAGTATTAATCAAATTAAACATTAGTCAAAAGTTCACGGTAGTGATCGGCAAGTCGGCAACTAATCCACACTTCATTTTAACTCCCAATGATTCCTAAGTCGAAAAGAACACAGTTGTTCTCTCCGTTTTAATATTGATGTTTTACATTGATTTTTTCGTGATTTTTTTTTGTTTAATGAGATTTTTAAATGTTTATAATCATTTTAAAGTTTAAGTTCTGAAGCTAATAAATACTAGGGTTAGTTTTTGACATTGTTTTTGTTCTATAACAAACATGTAATTTCTTTTCAAAATTGTTTTTGTATATTGGTTCAGAATTTGTTACATGTAGACTTAAAATAAGAAAATAAACAATAAAAACTAAAGATTAGCAAACTATGTAAAATCTCTAAACACCATGTAACATGTAGACTAAGCATAAATAATCAATTAATTAGAACCTAATTAAATATGTGAAGTCTTTTAACATAACTTATTACTAGATTTTACCCTGTGCGTTCGCACAAGAATTATTTTTTTATTTATGTAATATAATTTTGTTTTTGTTTTTGTTTATATATAAATTTTTTAAT